CAATGTATGTTTAGCCAAAGATGATTTTTTTTTTTTTTTTTTTTTTTAAGAAACAGTAATCCCTCCCCTTCCTGAAATGTATGGTAGAGGTGATCTGATCCTTGCCTCTGGTCACCATTCTTGGTGCCCATGACCCAAGTATGCAGGGACTATGTACAGATCTGCTTCCTCTGGACCCTAATTATGAACCTATGACTCTTGTGTGTGTGGCCATAGTTCTTTTAACACCCTTGGTTTACGTTTCAATAAAAATGACATGATTCATCAAATAACTCAGGGCCTTTTGCAATGGAAATAATTAGAAAGTAGCCAGAGATGCCTCATGAGTTGCGCCTGAGCTCACTGAAGAGTCATGCCCTGAGTCCCAAGGGTGATTTGCTGCCAAGCCTGAACAGCGGCCACCTGGGTTCTGGAGTCAGCTGGTTTGACTTTGGATGGTGTAAGAGGCAATAGAAAAAGATCGTAAAAGGCCTTCAGAAATCCTTTTCAATTATAGGTGTGGTGTTTTCAACATTACCCTGTTTTCAGTGAGCTCAGCTCCACCCAAAGGAGAGAAGTCTATATGTAGCCAGCCAAAGAGAAATGACTTTGTTAAAGCTCTGCATATAAAAATACAGAAGGAAGGTGGGGAAGGAAGCTGAGGCCTCTAGCTTTACCCTCTGGTGTCATGTTTATATGAAGCAGGAATCATCTAGTTATAAGCTCAGCCAGCAAACTCCAAGAAAGGTATCTACAGCATACCGGGTCCTGCGTTGTGGCCAACCTGAGACATCTTCCGTGGTCTCTTGAATTCCTGCTCCTAGCCCAGCTGAGAGAAATTCTATGCCTCATTTAGTTATAATCTTAGTCATAATCTAGCAACTGAAATAGATTCAAGCGGTATTCAGGGCATTCTGCCGAAGCAAAGAATTAGCAATTGAGAATATAATTTTCATATAGCCAAATATCTAAAAACACACTATGTGCGGGAAGTCGAGAACACCTCATCTTTTTTGTACTGTCTTTTGGAAGTCCTTGGGTTCTCTATAGGTCCATGCTTGCACAGGTCTGGCATGAGGGAAGGGCTATAATGCCACAAGACTATTACAGAAGAGAATAAATCACAGAAACCTGGAACTGAAAACGACATCCACAATTATCTAGTTCAGTGTTTCTTGTTGCCAGCCGTACATTAGAATCACCTGAGGAATTATGCGCACTATCAATACCAAGCCCTACTCTCCAAGAAATTCTGGTTTAATTGTTCTGGGTTGAGATCTAGGCTTAAAAAATCTGGTTATCAAAGAAAAGGATAAATGTGTTAATAAATGCATAATTAAAACGCTGTATTAATTAATGCATTAATAAGCTATAAACATAAACACTTTTCTAGAAAAGCTGGAAACAAAAGCAAATATTTGGAGGTAGGTTCTGGATTTGCTCCTTTTGGTGTTCCGAGCACCCGGTTTCCGACGTGTGGGGGGGCGCTCTTCACACCACCAATTATCTGAGGACACCAGCCGAGTGTCTTACTAACCAACTCAGTTCTGACACTGTGCCCACAAGTAGGGCTGGATTCCACAGATCAAGGATTCAGTTCCACAGGGCCCAGGTCCCTCTCCAACCCCACTTCCAACCCCAGTAGCAAGCCCAGGTAGTTACCTGTGCTTCTGACTGAACAGCCGTAAAGCAGAGGTTCCCACAGCCCTCTTCCTTGGGTTCAGTTCATTGGTTAGAGCGGCTCACAGAACTCAGAGAAACGTTTTACTTACTGTTAACAGGATACATCTCAGGAACAGCCACATGGAAGAGACACAGCATGGCAGGAGGAAAGGGTGGAGAGCTCCCATGTCCCCTCCAGGGGTGCTACTTTCCCCGACTCTCCACCTGTTCGCCCACCCGAAAGCTCTCTGAACCCCGTCTTTTTCGGATTTCTACAGGGACTTCTACATAGATGGGACGGACTAAATCACAGGCCTCTGGCCTCTCACTCAACCCCCAGCCCTCTCTCTTCCCGGGAGGTTCAGGGGAGGGACCGAACATGCTGACCCTCGCAACACGTGATTCCTTCTCCTAGCAACCAGCCCCCATTTTTAGGTGTGGTCAAAAAGTCACCTCATTAACATAACAAGAGACACCTTTGTCGCTTTTATCAGGAAGTTCCACGGGTTTTAGGAGCTCCGAGCCAGAAACAGGAAGACCGAATGTGTATTTCTGATTAAAAATCGCAACATCACATTTCTATACCTCACTTTGGTGAATTGTACATGCAACCAAAAAAAAGTAAAAATTGAGTACTGGCTCAAAGGTAAACTCCGAAGCTGCCATTAAAAAAAATTAACGGTGGTTTTAGAAACGTATCCCCCGAGGGGCCTGGCTGGCTCAGTCAGTAGAGCATGCGACTCTAGATACCGGAGTTGTAAATTCATGCCCCATGTTGGGTGTAGAGATTACTTAAAAATAAAACCTTTAAAAAATAAATAAAAATTAAAATATGTTCCCCAACTTTTTTTATATTCCTACCTTCAAGAAGTAGAGATTTCTGCCGCGGCAGGATCGCAGCCAATGAGGTTTATGCGAGACACAATGATCGCTAAATGAGGTAGAGCCTAATTTCCCTCCCCTTGAGTGTGGGCTGGATTTAGTGACTTGTTTCTAACCAATAAAACGAAGCAGAAGTTGTTGTGTGACTTCAGAGACTACGTAGTAAAAAGGCACTGTTGCCCTTTTTCTCTCATCACCTGCTCTAGGAAAAACAGCTGACGTGCCAAGAGGACTCTGAGCGGCCCAGTGAGGCCCACATGGTGATGAACCACGGCCTCCTGCCTCGAGCAATCTCCGCGAGCCATCTAGGAAGTGGCTCCTCTAGCTCTGGTCAAGCAATCAGATGACTTCTCGTGAGGTTGCAGCCCCGGCTGACGGCTGGCGGCTTGACGGCAACCTCCTGAGATCCCTTAATCTAGAAGCTCGGAGCTAACCCGCCTCCTAAATTCCCGAACCTCAGAAACTGTGAGGTGATGTGTGTTGTTTCAAGACAATACAGCAATAGAGAACTAATACAGTAATACATGATCCTTGGCTACCACAAGTGTGCATCCAGCTGAAGAAGTAGGCTTACAGCTCTGAAAACATGATGCACTGTGAAAGGCCTTGGAGGTTCTGCCATATGAAGAGGGTTCTGTGTAGTGGAACTCCAAAGGAAGATACCCGCATCTTGGTCTTTGTGAATTGAACGCACTGAAGCTTAGCAATTCGGAGGCTGTGTGGCAGTATACATTAGATAGATAGGTATGGAGATAGGGAGACAGACTGACAGACGGACGGGCAGAATATTATGCTTTGGGAATCCTCAGAGTTGTGAGATGCCTGAGGAAGACAGTCATGGAACTAGTACATCAACCTCGACCTTTAAGTAGCTTAATGAGATTGCACATAACATGCTACTAAAGCAGACAATCAGATTAATAAGAAAATTTCAAGTAAGAGAGTTGACTAATCATTGTGCCCCCTTACTTTTCCGGGTGTTAATTCTAACTCTGTTCTTGCCATTGTTGATTGCTGTATGTATCTTGTGTTTTTCTTAAATTACCAGCGTTGTACCCTTAATCTCCATATCTATGAAATGACTCAGCTCCTGACAAAGTTGATTGGATTAGAGGTTGACAACCTGATTCAAACCCAAACCTGAGATACATTTGAAAGAATTAAGAACTGAGACTTGGTTGAGGTACTCTCTTACATGGAGGATATGTTGGTATCCGCTGTCAACCCAAGAAGCATAGAAACCTACTCTGGAGAGAGAGAAAGAGAAACAAATAGAGAAGAGGCTTCTCCAGCATAACCTGTAATTTTATAATAATTATCAATTTCCCCTTATCACTGAAACTGGTTACAAGTGGAGCTTTCCAGCAACCAAAAGATTGCAGCTCTCATGCTATTCATATTCTACAGTTTAGACTATGAACATTAAAAATGATTTGAACTTTGTCTATTGCATATTGTAATAAGGTCCCAATGGCAAGGCATCTTTTTCTTTTGCACTTTAAATGATTTTCTTTTTTCTAAATTGAAAAACTTCCCAGAGAAATGGTACAAGTAAAAGAATTTATAAACAACATCTGTCTAGCTCATGTTATTGGTTATTTGTGTAAAAATTTGACTTATTACTCACACAAGGGTTTTTTTTTCCCTCCCCCCTCCCCCCCCCCCGCTTTGGAAAAGAATAATCTATGATTTCCTGTAAGTGGAAGAGCCAGGGATTTTTTTTTTTTTTAATTCTGATCTAAGTTGTTTCTTCACTTTTAATTATAATACCTACTATGGCCCCATTCAGCCAAGAAAAATCCGACCTGGTGTGAAGCTTTAGAATAATTTTGATTAAAAAAAAAAGTTTCAGGGGTGCCTGGGTGGCTCAATCGGTTAAGTGTCTGCCTTCGGCTCAGGTCATGATCCCAGAGTCCTGGGATTGAGTCCCACATTGGGCTCCCTGCTTCTCCCTCTGCCTGCCTGTCTGCCTACTTGTGATCTCTCTGTCAAATAAATAAATAAAATCTTTAAAAAAAAATAAGTTTCAATAGCAACAATAGGTCAATTTAAGTCAAAAGAACAATCATGCTCCCATGAATCACTGAAGACATACAAAGAAAAAAAAATGTTTGAAAAACATTACATGCCCTTTTAAAAAAAAGTATCATTATTATCATAATTCAGCCAAATAGGAACATCTTTATTTTACTGTATATGATTAATTAGATGGATAACAAAGACTAAGAAATGCAGCAATACCTCCATTTCTTTTTCCAACAGTATTTGGATGATTTTTGAATTCCAGAAGAACAGTGAGGTCTTTTCATCATGGGCTTTTTTTCCTTTTGTTTCTGGGGAAGAAAAATATCTGGTTTAGTAGTGACGTCTAGTGTAAGAGATTGTTTTTCAGAATATTTCAACTCTTCTTTGGGGCATTGACCTCAGGTCTGAAAATTGCAAGATGTTTCCTCATGCAGCTTGTTCTTTGGAGGACTCTTTCATAATTCTGGTATCTACCCCAAGGCTATCTGTTCTGGCACAGAGGATTTATCTTTTTATCTCAGGGAATTTTTAAGGATTGTAAACATGTATGAGAGTATCAAAATTTCTGTGTTAGTTTTCTGAAAAACTGTAAGTTCTTATTTCAGCTTCTATCTTTTCCAGAATTCTCATCATAGCCATTTTTACTGGTTCTTACACTTGGTATTGATGCTTCCTTATGGTAGCTGGTGTTGACTCTGTTCGCTTATTTCTCCCTCATTTTTTATTCCTTATATTGGTTGAAGGAACCAACAAAATCTGAAGCAAGAATATTAGCTCTGAAAGCGTTTGATTCCCACCTGGAACCTGAGGTAGAGTGTGGTAAGTGTTGGCATGAAGTAATGTACTGGGATTGTGGGAGGAATAGCTGTGGGTGAGTTAAAATGATAATGCCGGAAAGGTAAAACAGAAAGGGCAACAGGGTGGCTTGGATGGGAAGAATGGTATGTGCATGACAACCTGCCCTAGGTAAGGGCTGGTCATCTGAGATGATGTGACTGTGGAACCACTCTCCATGTGGTAGAGGCAGTTGCCGTCCACCTGTATCTGCTCCTTCATGGTGCATAGTTCGACACATTGCCTAGGTAGGGCCACCTGACTGAGTTCTGGCTAATGAACTTCTAGTTCTAATCACACTGTGTTCCGTGAAAGCATCTGCTCTCTCTTTCCCAGGCCACCTGCTAAGAATGAAGGATTCCCAGCGTCTAAAAGATGCTGCTACCACAAGACAGAAGGAGCTAGGACTCCTGAGTCATTGCTTGGAGGAGAGTTATATTGGACTTTGCATCACAAGAAATAAAACTATGTTAAGCCACTGAAAGTTGATGTTTGTTTATTACAGTAGCTGGTACTAATTATCCTTGTATAATATCTCTTTGGTTCTGAGGTTGGGTTTGATATTGTCACAGTAAGACAATAAAGAAAAGAATAAATAGGCAGGAAAATATTACTCAGAGAAGGACGTTGGGTTGGGGAGCGGTGAAGGGCAGGAGAAAACGGATGACATTGGGCCTAAAGGGCCTCCTGAGATAGAAAACATTTCGTAGATGTACTGATCTAATTTTAGAACTGAGCAGGTCACCTCTAAACGGGTCTCCATTTGTGTAAAAGTAAACGGACATATTCTGACAACTACGTTTTAAAGAATATATATATTATGTGACTGTAAATGAAGCACAATAAATTAAGTTTACTTGAAAACATTAAGTAGGAAAAATCAGAGATCAAATATCAAGTTCTTAAATAAAAAAAAAAAAATGGTTTTCAAAATGAGGTAGGCTACATGTACTTCAAAATGCCAGGGGGAGAGATAGAGAGGCCGAAAGCCCTGAGCTTGCTGAGTGGAGGGTGCTGTGAGGAAGGGCATGAGTGGGGAGAATGTTTGGACTGTCTGCAATTAAATGTGAAGCCTGCTGGGCCTGGAAGTCAGAGAAAGTGGCAAGAAAGGACGAGTTTTCCCTTTGCTTTTTAATACTTAAATACAGTGGTTTAAAAGTCAGTTTCTATGCAACAAAAGAAATATTTAGTGATCAAATCTGGAACAGCTATTTGAAATTTCCAAACATCTGAAGGGTAAAAATTTAAAGCTAACATTTCCTTTGAAATATAGCATAGTTTGGGGGCTTTTTCTGAAACATGGAATAAGTCCAAAAGTCTGAAATAACACCCCTAATATTCATTCTTCAGTGAATAATTCACTTTGACCATCAAATATATGTCATTATCTTTAAAAATATGCTAACAGTGTGGTACCCATTGATTGGGATAAAAGCACTCCTTTGTTCCTTCTATAAACTGCCAGTGACAGACCTTTCCTGGGACTTGGGGCTTCCTTTCTTCCCCCTTCTTTTCCAAGCCCCCAAATTAGAGATTTCCTTAGGCTGGGAGGGAAGTCTAAGAGTTTATGATTAGAGATCCCACAGGCATTAGCACCCACAGCTCCAGTGGTCCAGAGGTTCACAGTGGCCACTGTGAGTCAATCATTGCTGTCACCTAATATCATCTGTGAGGCAGATTATAAAAGCGCATCAAAGAGCATCAGACACGTCCGTCAGAAACAGAATGCCTGAGGTTCTCAGACTGAGAATCTCATAGCCAGGGGTAGGGGAAAGATAATCAGGCAGAGCACAAAGGATTTTTAGGGCAGTGAAAATACTCTGTATGGTTTTATAATGATGGATTATGTCATTATAGATTTGTCCAAACCCATAGAATTTACAACACCGAGAGTGAACCCTAAGGTACCTTTGAATGTTGGGTTATTATGAGGTGTCAATGTAGGTTCATCAATTGTAAAAAATGTACCACTCTGGTGAGTGATGGTGATAATAGTGATGTTAATAATGTTGATAATAATAATAAGGCTACGTGTGTGTGGAGGCAGAGGGTATGTGGGAAATCTCTACCTTGCTCTCAGTTTTGCTGTAAACCTAATATTGCTCTAAAAAATATGTTGTAAAAAAATTCTCAACAGCTATAATTGTTTCACTAGAAGTTGACTGAACAACAACAACAAAAAAGGTGTCTTAAACACCACCTGTGCTAAATGCAGAGCTTAAATAATTTCCACTGAGGTATTTTTTTCTGATTTCAAAGATTACACATGTTCTTTGTAGAAAACTTGAAAAATACAGAAAAGCCAAAGAAAAAATTGAGAACCTCTGAACACTTATTAATGATTTGTTATGTACATGTATGTGTGTGATGCATATTTGTGTGAAGATAAGTGTGTATAAATACATGTTTATATAATAAATATAATTTTAATGGATATGCTATATATATGCACACAGTATACAAATATATGCTTTTTGAATTTATATTGCATATGTACATATATATATAAATATGTAGAATTTTATTATACATATTTTTGTTAGCTATAAACTTTGGGTTATATTATAAAAGTTGTTTTGGGGCGCCTGGGTGGCTCAGTTGGTTAAGCATCTGCCTTCAGCTCAGGTCGTGGTCTCTGGGTCCTGGGATGGGCCTACATTGGGCTCCCTCCTTGGAGGGGGCCTGCCTCTCCCTCTGCCCCTCTCCCCATGCTCTCTATTTCTCTCTCTCAAATAAATAAATAAAATCTTTTTTTTAAAAAAGTCTCATTTATTCATTAATTTTTTTTTTAAGTAGGCCCCACACTCAGTGCGGGGCTTGAACTCACAACCCCGAGATCAAGAGTCACATGTTCTACTGACTGAGCCAGTCAGGTGCCCCTATTCATTAATATTTTTAACACACTCTAAAAATAGTCTCTCTCAAATGACTTCACAAGAACTTTCTTCCTACATTTATTTCATTCTCCAAAAAATGTGTACCATAGAAGAGCATGTATACTGTATAAACCTCTACCGTTACCTTGTTTTTAAAGTAGGTTCCACACCCAACATGGGACTTGAACTCATGACCCCAGGATCAAGAGGCCCATGCATGCTATACCAACTGAGCTAGGCAGGCACCCCATGTTTTTCTTAAAAACAAATATACTCTCATCTTTGAACTGAAGCTTTAGAGTTATTAGGTGGATCTGTGAACTATAACATCATCAGCATTAAGTCTTTTATCATGTGTATTTTGCAGGTCATGAACACACATACTGTCATGTGGGGGTCATTGCAGAAGCTACATTTTTAAAAGTCTACCTATTTGGTAATGACTTTAAGAGTTTGGGCCATCATGTACGATTCCTTTACAGTCAGGAAGGCTCAGTTATTGCCTTAGGGGAATCAGTGGTCTCTTTTTTTCCCACAATGAAAATGATAAACCATTTTAATGGTTTCCTATTTCATTGGAAACCTTGGCACCCTCAAAATCTATTTATAAAGAAGGTTCTCATAAGTCACTTGTAAGTATGTGATATGCTGAGCTTAATTTTTACTTTGCCTTGAAGCAGGCAGAGTGTGAGCAAGTCCCCTTTCTGCTCTATGTTATGGTTTAGTCCTAAAACAGAAAGCAACTATTGTTTATTTCAAGAGCCATACAGAGCCTTGGGTTCTGCCAATTATTCCACATGACAACCGAAATCAAGCTGATGAAACGCATGAAATTTATTATATTTCCAAAGGGCACTTTCTACTCCGAAGGTCTAAGTCTTCAGCATCCAGGCTTAGGAGGTGTAGATGCAAAGAGAAGTACAAATCACTGAAGTTAAAAGGCTTGTCATCTTTACAGAGTTTCTAATTTGTGGCTGCAGTGTTATTTATTACAATCTCAATCCTGTGAAGAATGGCTGTTCTCCAAGAAGAACACAACTTTCAAATAGTTTAAATTCTGGAAAGTGAAGGAATCTTATAATTCCAAATGGATAGCCTTGTATTCTAGAGATAGTATTTGAGCAAAATACAAAATCCACTGAACTTTGCCTATAGATTTCCATTGATTAGATGAGATAGAAGCCTTTATAATCTCAAGTATAGTACCAATAAACCAAGAAAAGTATGTAGTTGCAGGTGTTAATAGAAAATATAAGCTACTCACCTTGTGGCAATGAAGCAGCATTTGAGTTTACTTATATGGAATCATAGGATGCTAAATCGAATGGAGTTTTAGAAAATGTTGGATTTTTGCAAAGGAAGTTTTCCAGAGTAATAATTTATTTATTTATTTTTTCTTTTTCAGAGTAATAATTTAGTGAATAATTCTGCTTCTTAGTAAGATCAGCTTTAAGTAAAATAAGTCCTGACCCTAGATTTTATTTTTCCAATCTCTTAGTGAATCTTTTGTGTTCCAAATTTCTCAAGTACTTTAAAGTGCTTGTGTCCTTTACTCCTTGATTTAGATACTTGTATTACAAAAGAAATCCAATTCATCTGTTTTTTTGGGGGGGGGGGCAGAGGGAGAGGGAGAATATTAGGCTCCACCTCCAGCAGGGAGCCCCAGGGGGGGCTCTATCTCACAATCCTGAGATCACTACCTGAGCCAAAATCGAGTCAGACGCTTAACAGACTGAGCCACCCAGGAGCCCCCAGTTCATCTGCTTTTAAGGTGTATTCAATTCCTACTTTGTTTCAAAAAACTCCATCTACTTGTGACCCTTCAAAAAAGAATTACTCCATCTGACTGGAATTCATTCTTTTTTTTTTTTTTTTTGAGAGAGAGAGAGAGAGACAGCAAGCAAGGAAGGGTATGGGCAGAGGGAAAGGAAGAGAGAATTTTAAGCAGGCTCCACGCCTGACGTGGGGCTTGATCTCACAACCCTGAGGTCATGACCTGAGCGAAAATCAAGAATCAGACACTTAATTGACTCAGCCACCCAGTCGCCCATAGAATTCATTCATTTTATTTGCTCTTAATATTAAGCCTATTATGAAAATCCCGTGTGTGTTCTATACATTTTTCTTTAGTTGTAGAGTCCAGAATTGGTCATATTTATTTGTGTAAGTTCCTTTGTTTTATATCCAGGAAAGTAATTTCCTTTATAGGGTTTCCTAGCTATCAGCAGGCAGAATCTGAATGTCAAAGGGAACTGATCACTGTGCAAATAAAATAAATTATCCTGGAATCTACCAGGGATAATTGTTTGAACTTTAAGTTGTTAACCCCTAACAACTACTTCAGGCTACTTACAGTTTTTAGGTTTTGTGTTTATTCCAAAGAGGGAGAGGAAGTAGAGGAGCAAGAGGGAGAGGGAGAGAGTAAAACACAAAATCCTCCTGAGTTGAGGAGAGAGGAAAAAGGTTCATTCCATCTTGCTTCCGTCCCCTATCTTATATCGAAATAATTCACCCACATACAGAACAAACTTTTCCCTGCCTTTGCCACAGATACAAACTGCATTGAGAAGCTTGAGTGATGAGTGCCTTTCTGCCTCCTCCATGTAGAAATGTATTTACGTTGTCGGTGAAGGCAGAAAATACAACTGCTCTCTACTTCCTTTGAAGGCATGAACGGAGCTAGTATTTATTCAATGATTTTCTGAAAATCAAGTATTGAATATATAATCAAAGGAGACAGGTGGGAATCGTGTGAGGAAAAAATTATGTAGTATTTTCAGCTACAAAGTGGAAAGAATGTGTGTAAAAAACACCTCGGTAAGGTGAGAAGACTAGCCGGCTGTTTTGGTACTTTACTGAAGTTCCGACCAGGATCAGCACCCACAAGCAGGGCTTCCCCTGCTCCGGAATATCCCCAAGCGCTGGATGCACAGCGGCAGGTGCAGCCTGGGCGTGGGGCTGAAGCTGGCACAGGACAGATCCTCCTTCCGCGCGACATCTTTCCACACCCCGTTCGCTGGGGACCGAAGACCTTCCTCTCCAGGAATAATTTAGTGCGACTGAATACTCTAACAGCCCCTCCACTCCGGTGGCTATTCCAATCTCCGTGTCAACACCTCTGGGGTAAGGAGTAACTAAAACATTTTAGAGCTGCTATCAATCTTAAACAAACTCTGGTAATAAGATAAAAACACAAAAAGGAACACATTTTTCATCGCTCCGCTTGCCCCGGCTGGCTCTGTGTAGCCTCTAATCCATGCCTTTGCCCGTCAGTCTACACATCCATCTCCAGCAGCTAAATCATTATCAGGTGATGACTTAGGCCCCGAGGAGAACTGACAAAACCACCCATCTTTATTTTTTTGATGGCGCTTTTTTCCTTTTGATGAGCAGACAGATGCACTTTCTCTTATAAGCTAATCTTTTATAAGCATTCCTTATTTGTAATCAGATTTTCTCACAGAGTAAAAAAAAGTGATCTGCTTTCTTTAAACATATGATTTTCATGTGATTCTAAAAGAAATTCTTTCTTATATAAAATAAGTATGGCTTGTATGAGGAAAAGGGGAAAGGGTAAATAGGAAGACAAAGGGTAAAGATCCAAAACATTCTGTATTATGTGAGCAGCCTTACATAGTAAGACAAAGATTTTGTAGGATTAAGCAAATACATTTTTTCTTTCTCTCAAAATAGTCTATACTGTTCTAGTTTATAGCATTTTAAAATACCTGGACCAAACATAAATTCAAATAAAATCTGTTCATCTTTTTGTTCATTTTCCATTCACAATTCTGTTGTATGTGTGTACATTGCCAAATTGTGATTTGGAGCAATTTATCAAAATTCTTTTTTTTTTTTTTGCTGACTTTAAAATGTTTATCCCTTAAAAAGTGTTACTTCCTCAGATGTATTTTTTTTTTTTTGTCCTTTACCAGAAAGAAAGTCTACTTTCCACAGTTAAGTCTTTATCTTGGAAATTGCTTGGAAAAGCAGTGACTTTTGATTCACAGTCCTTTGGGCTGTCTTGAGAGATCACATTGTAGCTGGATGTGAAGTCTTGACTCTTATCAATAATTAGTTCCTAACAGCATGGAATAGAGGCGTTGCTCTGTTATGAAGATGATAGTGTGTTCTTTGGAATCTTGGACACTTACAATTAATCTGGTAGACATTGAATTCTTAGCTTCGGCGTACAATTAGTCTTATTCTCTTGGCTCACCAAGATTAGAAATTACATGTTATCTATGTTTGAGTGTTACAGTGCAGACTGTTATTTCAAATGTATTTAGTACAGGCATAATGAATCAACCATGAGTGGCACAATATGCACTTCTTTGACTTCCTACTGTGGAACTAGATAAGTATGAGAGAGGCTGCAGATTATAACCCTTTGGTTACAAAATATTCGTGCATATCTAATTTTCCACACAAAACCCTTATGACTAACAGGTCATGGATAATAATGAGATATGAAGAGTAAATATTGCCTCTTGTCTATTTACTCGGTTTGGCCTCCCCTCTGCCCCCACCAAGGAATGAAAAACTATCCTACTTCAAAACTTATTAA